GTAACTGTAATATGAAAACATATGAATGACAAAGGGCTGTTTGGTACATATTACGTGTATTAAATGCCTACTGCAGAACTTCTGTATCTTATGCCTGATTGTTTATTGCATCTGACAACTAAGTTTAACTTTTATTTTTCTAGCAACTTTATCTGTATTCTCTATTTTGTTCTTAAAAGCCGGCAAGATGTATACTCTGTTACATGTTCTTTTGAAGCCAGCAAAAGTGGAAAAAATGGAAATACAGTGACTATTTTTACCTATGATTTTCTTTAACTAAAGCTTAAATAAATGTAAAACAGGTTAGCTGTGATTAAAGGCTAAACTTTTGCCAGTTTGTTTGGGCCACTTGACAAATGCATGTCATGCTATAGTAGTATGCGTCTTTAAAGGTTTATTTAATGGGGGCTGTAGCGCTTGTATGAAATGGTATGTTGTGCCTCCTCATATACCTTAAGGAAAGAACAGAGACATACCTCTTAAAAATGAAGTAGGGAAATCCCAAGACCAGTTTGAAGAAGTGTTTAATGAACATCATGATTTTATGTATGTTCTTTAGAGAAGGTTGTTGAGTTAATTAGAAAATGTAGACTCGGCTATAAAATGCTGATGAACTAAATGGTACCTAGCTTAGGTTATGCGTCATAACTTTTAAGAATTAGTTTGAAATGAATTAAAAAAGCAAATTCAGAGCAAAAGTACAGTATCTGCTAAATACTCATAGGTACTTTGTCAAAGGGCTGTGTAATGACTATATTCAGTATTCTTTATGCATATATAGCCTGTAGCAGCAGGTGCAGAGTATACATGGTAGCTACTTTTTATATTGGAAAACTGTAGAGAATGAACCGCAAGTAAATAGTCTGGGGTGAGTGGAGAAAGAGTTTATCTTTGTTTTATGGGTCTTTCAGTTTTAGGTGTGTGCTTTATATTATTACTCCTTTTATTACATCTTTTATTTATTTGTAATTAATTGATTCAAGAAATGCCAAAGCAAATATGGGAATGAAAGCTATTGGACTATTTCCATTAGAGTTATTTTTTTTCAGTCTAGGGCTGAATTACTATTTGTTTTGGGTGCCATTCAACTTTTTTTTTTTTTTTTGCTCCTGCCTCAGGTAAGTGCGGTGCTGTGGGAATTCTGTCTCAAACTTTAGACAAAACTTAGCTGAATTCTTCCTACTTGTAACTTACTAATTGTCTTTCTACAGTGTCAGGAGAGAGGAATAAGAAGTTGATTGAGTATAGAGCTTGGCAATTAAGGAAAGGAAAGATTCAGTAAATGGGATTGACATAAAATTAAGAAAAGGCTTAAGCAGGCATAGGAAACAAGAATTGAAATTGTTAGGGATCACTTGATAGAGGTCTAAGGGAACTGTTGATTATGCTCTTGTAAATCGGAGGAGAACAGGATTTGACTTTACCAGCTTTATTTTCGTAATGATTCCTTTTCTGGGTTAGCTGTGCCTCTTGACTATGCTTTGTCTATGCACACCCCATGGTGTTCAAAAATGACAGCAATACATAAGCAAAATTGAGGTTTCTACTGTTATGGTGGGGTTCAGCCAGATACAACCATGGCTGGATATATTTGGAAAATCTTCCTGAAGAAGACCTGCCCTGTGAAGAAGGCAACAAATAAATTTGCTGAATGCTTGTTTAAAATAAATGCTCCTCCTACGTTTTTAGAGTTTTTCTGACACTTGCATCGTTAAATTGTATGACTTCTTTTGTTGAATAAATGTATACTTTTCAACATGGGAGGTTTCTTATATCTTTGCATAATAAAACTGTAAGTTAAGTTCTAAAATAAAAATGAAAACAAAATTAGATTGTAAGGCTCAACATAGAGCAGACTTAAGTCTGTTAAGACTTAAGTGTGTAAACCCAACCCTTGCAGAAAGTGGTAGATTAGCACCACCTGTTCATGGCTCTACATTGTTATTATCGTAATAGTTGACAAATACATGTATGCCTCTTTTTCTTGGAAGTTTTATTTGTGACTATTAGAATTCTGGCTGTGAAAGTCGGAATAAGTTCCTATAAAAGTATCTCAGTCCCTGAAAAGTCTAACCAATAAACTTGACCTGATAGATGCTTTGAATAACAGCAAAACTAATATTTAAACAAAATGACTTCTCAAAAACTGGTAAATCAAGTGCACTGATGCTTCAGGAATGAGGGGAAAATATGGTCAATTTGACTTGAGTGACTACGGAACAACAAAAGTTATGCGATTTCATAATGACGATGGGATGCATGTGTTAATTAACTATAACTGTAGAGGTGTGGGTTAAAAGTGAAATAACTAGTTGCTCATTTATGTGTGTTTCCAATCTCTGTTTTTCTTAAGTGTTTTTCATTGCTTAATGGACTAAATTAAAGACTGTGTGACTGGTTTTAGTATTTCATAATTAATAAACTTTTTCTTCCCCCCTCCAGTATCATCTTTGGATTAAACCCATGCTATATCTAATTAATGTTCTGAAATTAGACTCATTACCTCATAATTCTTAAAATAAAATGTGCCCACCCCTCATACGTCTGTATAGTATAAATTACACTGGCGTATTAGAGAAAAAAGGCAGCTAACCTGAGTAGCTAGGTATGGTGGTTATATGCTGTAATTATCTTATTTATGTGCTGGTTAAATTGGGACACAGTAAAACAAGGAATAGCATCACCAAAAGTATGATATCAGAAAGAAGAGATAATTTTTATTATTTTAAGAGTAACCTTTAAATTGTCGATGCTATCAGCCAGGAGGATCTTCCTGGTGTTGATATAGTTTGCAGAAATACCCTTTTGGCCAACTTTGCTAGCACAGTTGACAGAAAAAAAAAATTCCCTGCAACTGCATAGTATTTTAATAACTTTTTCTTACCTTTTTCTGATTGTGGTTACTCTCGATTACTCCTTAAAAAAAAAAAATCTGTTTTGAGTTGTCAGAGTTATAATAATATATGCTGAGAGAGACAGTGATCATACTTCCATTAACCTACTGTGTATACATATTTTTGTCTTATGTTCTCCTGTGGTTGGGTTAAGGATACAGATAATCTATGACAAGAATGAAAGAAACTTGCCACAGGTGAAAAGGCAATTCTTTGATAATTGTTGTCTTCCAGACTATTTGTTAGGAATTGAGGGGGAAAAAAAAAAAGTCTTTTTTTTTTTTAATAAAAGAATGGAAGAAAAAAAGCTCACACACCCCCACCCTTTTTCATTTGAGGCTGCTCATGGTGTTCTTAGCTCTCCTTATGAAAAAAAAAAAAAGCAACAACCACAACACCAGCGATCAACTTAAAAGCAGAATGAAGAATTTCAGGACTTGCTCATCTGTTTCTGCGTTCTAAATTCGCATACAAATGGTTACTGCTTTTAACAAAGCAAAAGGAGAGTGGTGCTGTTCCTTTTCCACTGAGGAATGGAGGAGGTGGGGTGAGGTGAGAGAGATGGAGCGGTATTTTTTTTCTGCATCGCAAGAAGAAAGGCCTGACAGCAATTGGCTTCATAGGATAACTGCTTTAATTAGACTAAGAAGGGAAATACTGATAATGAGCAAGTCACCTTGAAATGCTGTGTGACATCAGACAGTGCCCTGGTAGATTTTCCCATGGCATGCTGTGTGGAGCAGATCCTGTTCTCAGAGAGCAGCTCTCCCTTTTGGTCATTCAAACTAGTGTATATTTCTTTACAAGAAAACAACTCTACTCCTAAAGCATGTTCTCATGGGAACTTCTTGCTGCACTTTTAGACAAAGGGAAGGCCATGTGGGCGGCGTAGTTGCTGGTACCAAGGGGGAGCTGCCTGCGGCTTCCTCTGTTATGCTGAGATGGCTGAGGTTGTCCTGCAGCCAAGGGACATGTGCAGCACAGCATGGCCCTGTTGTCCCTAGCTCTTAAATGTGCAATGCTCTCCCAGTCAGCAACGTTACCTTCCACCCCTTGATCCTTGTACTCTTTGCTAAGGGTACGGATTACACTAATTACTCTTTGCCAAGTAACAGGTTACATTAATTACTCAAGAAAGCAGAGGTGGCCTGTTCAAGATCACCAACTCCTCAGATCTTCTGCAAGGTCCCGGTACAACATTATCCTAGTAATTATTTCAATTTTCCATTTGTTGTGTAAAATTATAATTCTCCAGAAGAGCTCTTAAGTTCATTGTGTGTGGTCGCTCTTTCTGATGAAGTGAAGTTTCATGAGCTTTTTGAGGGAATTGAAAAGAATGGGCCTTTTCATCTCTCGTTATAAAATAGAGGAAAACAAATGTGGAAACTAAAACTGATGGTAATACTTTATTTTATCATTAGAATGCTGAAGGAATCCAGAGAAACTGAAAGGAAGTAGAAGCAGCTCAGTAATTTAAATTTTATTCTTTTTCCCTGTTCTTGGCCTGAAAGCTGTTCTGTGCTGCTTGTGTGGATCTGTGGTTCTGGTCTATATGAGATATTGGTCAGGATGCACAGAGTATAGAAAAGAAGAGGGAATTAAGATATTAAAATTGGCTTACTATATTGTTTGCCAAGTAAACAAATAACAGTTCTCACCTTGATGGCATTATGCTGTATGTCTATTTAAATTTATAAGACTGTTGCAGGGAAATAGCAATGACAGGGGAAATTAGAGAACCTAATAGTAGTCCACTTGGGAAGGCTCTTTTTCCCATTACTTATATGAAGCTCACACGTATATCCTTACCTTTCAGCTCCTGCTTGTGAACATTACTCCTGTGTCTGATATGCCTGGTTTGCTGTCCCTTTGCAAATCATCTCTGTGAACAGGGTCATTCTTCCTTGTCTTGACTTGCATTGTGTGTTTATGCATTCTTTAAATTAAATTTCCTTTGCAAATCATCTCTGTGAACAGGGTTGTGTGTTTATGCGTTCTTTAAATTAAATTTGTGTAGTGTGTTATTTCATTATCTGCTATTGTTTACATGGGAAGTGTTACATGAATTATATATGACTGCATGCATATGTTGTGGTTATTTTATAGGTGGTGATTCGTGCTCAAAATGGTGATCTCCTCTATCGTATTTCACCTTGGGCGAGATATGTAATCCGTGATGAAGACAAAGTAAATTATGATTGGGTACACTGGAATCCACCACAGTCATATATAGTAAGGCTTAAATATTATTTTCAAAAGGTGTATACAACCATGTAATGTGTCTTTGTATCCCTGCTTGGAAGAGGGGAAAAAAAAAATAAGAAAGTTGTTCCACAAAAAGAGGGTAATGAACTAGTCACCTGAGACGTGAGGGGTTTTAATTCATGGCTTTGACAGAAAGAAGTAATGTGCTCATGCTCCAGCCAAATCCTAGTTTCTTCATAACAGGAAGATGCATTTCTTGATTTTAAAGCCCTCTTACTTCTCATGTGCTGCTGTAAGGAGGGGAACTCTTTACATGATGCGTGAAAAATATCCTGGTATAACATTCAGAAACTTCAGACTGAGTGATGTTATTTTATATTGTTACACTTCTTGGCGTTTTCACTAAAAAATGGTATGGAGTATTTTGTGCTGCAACCTCTGTTTTGAGTTAAATTTTAGCACCCACCTCAAATTACAAAGTATGTGCTTGACAAAGAAAGGGTAACTCACATGGGAAATCTTTTTTTTAAAAAAAAATCATTACGTAATCTACAGTAACTTTCTTATTTAGGTGTATAGCTTGTATGAATTTAGTGACCTACCATGTATCTATGATGCTGTGTGACACCTAGATTCTATTTAAGGGGAGGAGTGGGGAGGTAGTTGGAATTGCAGTGAGCTCTGTGATCTAGAGTGAAAAGGAGGTGAGAACATTTAGGGTGCAGACAAGGTCTTACTGAGTTAAGTCAGAAAAAAAAATTGAGTCCTTTTATGAACAGGCGAGTAACTTCAATAACCTGCAAAAAGCAAGTATGCTTAAAAAAACACCCTGTCTTTGTATTGTCATGTTATATTTTCGAACAAGCTCCATAGTAGTTCAGAACAACTTTATAGTGTAATGGCTGCTATAGGTTTATATGCTTCAGTGTAATTTAAAAAGAGCGTAAGAAAAGTGTTGAATCACAGATGTCCAGTTTCTTGGTCATGAAGAATGTTAGTTTAAAATAGATATGTGCTTTAACAGTTTAGAATGCCTAATTACTCTGAAATATTTGTGCTTTTACAGGAAAACAAAACAAACATCAAATTGTTTTTCGTCTTGTGCAAACTATGTGATTGTGACAACATTTCCAAGCTGTTGTATCCTAACGACAACTTTTTTTTTCCTTGTAGCATAAGCATCCTTCCCCCAAGAGATTAAAAAGCCTAAGAATCTATGAATCTCATGTGGGGATTGCTTCCCCAGAAGGGAAAGTAGCTTCTTATAAAAACTTCACGTACAATGTACTACCTAGAATAAAGGATCTTGGTAAGTAATTACAGAGATACTTGCAGAGACAAAATTTTTATGTGCCTGTGCTCTTATTAGAAAAGATAATTATCAAGTGTCTGTAGATCTTTTGCATTTTCAGATTATGTGTACTATAAAAACAGGTTTTTGGGGCAGCAAAAATTATAAACAAGTGAAATCTATGGAGAATAAACAAAGACTGAAATAGGATAGGTGGATCAAAATACATTCCATAGATTTTTAAAGTAAGATGTGATTGCAAAAGCCTAGGTAAATATTGTAGAGCAGTTTGCTTTTGGCATGGTTTGCTTTTAGCTTGAAAAAGGACCTGTTTTGTGAGATAGTCTTCAGAAAATACTGTGTTCTTAATTGGTTCTACTAATGTAAATCTTGATTCTGAGGAAAGAAAAAGAAATACCTGGGTAGAAAGTATTGCCCTTTGTTTGCCAGAATAAGCGTGCTAAATTTTTTTATCCCTGAACAGCATCAGAACATGGAAATTTTAAATCCTTTTTCAGAAAATAACTTCTAGTCTATTGGAGGGGATGTATGAAACAGCTGACATGATTATCTTAGGAAGCATAGCAAAACTGTTAACCTCAATTTTTATTTGATGACTTTTTTTTCCCCCTGTGTTGTCTTTGCACTGTTTCTACAATGGACAATATTAGAACTTGCTGGGCTTTTACTGCCCTGTGATGAAATATGTTTTGTTACAGTCAACTGTAAAAAAAAAAAAAAAAAAAAAAAAAAAAAAAAAAAAATCCTGACATCCAGGGCTGAGACCTCTGTGGATGGTGTTGGTGCTTATGTGTTTTATTTATTGATTGATTGATTGATTTATCAGAATGCCTGAAGAAGCCATACATTTTTCTTGTATGTTTAGCTGTTAAGTCAGTGTTTTATAGAGTGTGGCTTTTGCCTTTCAATAAAGTTGAGCTTGCAGGTGAGATGAGGGAGGCCCTCAACAAAAAGTATATATGGATTCCACATTGCGTATCTGTGACTCTTTCCTTACTGCCAAAGAATTTCCCTCGTTCCAGGAGGCTAATAAGTTTAGCAGAATTATGAAAGCTTTCTGCTTTACCTACAGATTTTTCTTTGGGGAGGAGAAATGTCATGGAAATGTCATGTTATTACACCATAAAATAAAAGCAATATGAAATTTAGGTAGGGTATACAGAAATGATAGATAATGTTTGTTCTTATTTACATTAAGTAAACAGTGTGGGAATCAAGCCTTTTTGGTTTTCAAATGTATTTTGAAGGGGTATTCAGTTCGGTTTTGGAATGTCTTCCTTGTTAGGACAAGCTTAGAGACATCAGTATTTAAGAATGCTAAGATATTAATAGTTTGTAGAAATATGTGCATGACAAATAGCAAAATAAATAGCAAGCAAATTGAATGAGATTAATTTGATGCTGTGTTGCTGTTTATTTATAAAAATGCTGTAAATAAGAATAAGTGCAATGAGTCTGAATTATAAAACAGCGATGAATCTGACAAATTGCTGAGCTCATGCCAACTATCTCCTAATAATAACTCTTTTATAGCTGAAAAATTTAAAAACAAAACCAAGAACAACAGAAAAGAAATTAGTTTCTTGTCTAAATGAAAGAACGAAGTGAAGATTTTGGTTAAACTGATAAAGAGAAGTGGTGGTGGTGGGAGTCTCAGCAGACTGTAGATTAAACTTGAAAATTATCTTTCACGGATAGTCCTTATTTGTTAGCTATCTGGGGCACTTACTGATATCAAAGATAGCTTTAGTTAAGATGTGTGGTAAGTTTTTTGGCTTCACCATCAGTATGTTGTTTTCCCTTTAGATTTCCCTCCCTTAATATTGTACTGAAGTGTCTTAGGTGATACATGAGACAGCGTGTCCCCAACCCTTCTGTACTGCCTTAGTTCTTTGGTAAACTCTGAACAAAAACGCATTGCTTCTGTGTTTTCTCTTTTTTGAAAGACTTCTGTAGAGGGGGAATGTAATCATTAAAGTTGGAAAAAAGTGTTTTTGAAGTGGTAAAAAAAGATTTCATAGGGCATAAGATATAGTACGTGTAGCCAGCGACTACCCCTGTACCCCCTGACTGCAAGTGTCAAAAGTGAAGCACAAGTTCAGGACATGCAGGTTGGCTTAGTTAATATTCTGAAGTTAAATTAAGAATATTCTGAAGTTAAATTTAAGTTAAAATAAAAGTTAATATTCTGAAGTTAAAATAAGCAGACTTACTGCTTTCTAAATCTGAGAGATTCAATAAACCTGGTTATATGTAGATCACTTGAAAAATTGACCATTCCATTTTTAATGGCAGATCATGTAAGTATAAACTGTTAGGTAGAATTACTTCTTGAAAGAGACTGAGTCTTCAGTTGTTAATCATTAGAGTTAGAAGCATCTAAAATGAGTGAAGACTGGAATGAATGTTACAGGTGTTGAATCCTCTTTTAACTATCCTAAAGGTAGGGGTTGTTGGTTTTGTTTTTTTATTATTTGTTCTATTTTTGTAGGATATAACTGTGTCCAGCTGATGGCTATCATGGAACATGCATACTATGCCAGTTTTGGGTATCAGGTCACAAGCTTCTTCGCAGCATCAAGGTAGATTTAAATACTTCGGCATCTTCTCTGTTCTTTTACCTTACTTCCCATGCCCTGAAATCACTATGCCAGTATGTGTGTGTCTGCAAGCGTTTAACGGAAAGGGACAGTAATGGCTTAGGTATTTGCTCTAGCTTCCTCTTAAATCTGAAATCAGTTTGGCATAGTGATCAGCTGTTCTGTGAAACACTTTGTGTAGGATACAAACAAAAAGGTTAGAAGTAACTTCAGCTGTCATAGCATATTCCAGCTAATCCAGCTTCAGCAGTCTTTATGCATGGATTTTGTGTTCTGGAATTCTTGGCAGTAACAAACACAATGTGTAAGTCAGTCTTTTATGATAAACAGAACTGTACACTACTTGTTTGTAATAAACTTGATTAAAGTCATGGCTCTGTGTGTTCTGTGGGAACTTTTTCCTATGCTTATAACACACTGTACTTAGATTTGAGGCCTAGGGTGAAAATAGATGGAAAATGTATTCAGGTAATTGTTAAGAAAATCATGATAAACCTGAATGTTGTGATTTTTTTCTTTTTTTTCTTTTTTTTTTTTCCCATCTAGGTGAAGCCCAAGTTACAACCAGGCTAAGTTTAGATAGACAGGAATTTTTAACTGGCTTAATTAGTTGAAAGAAAGGTGTGTTAGACACAGGAGACAAAAATCTTTATTTAAAACCAGGTTGGAAAATAGTGTAGTACCTAAAACAAATTACTAAGCAGGACAGCGGTAGATGGTGTATTTTGGGGACTTTCATGAATTTATTTACTCTTGTAGTGGATTACTTTATGTACACGATTACTTTATTCCAGTATTATAAATATATTCTTATCTCTTACAAAGTAAGGAAGTGTTCAATATTAACTGACACAACTTAAAGTTTCTATTTATCTTTTATACTGAATTTTATTTGTTGACAGATTAAAAGGGAAAAAAAACCTTTGAAATTATTTCTGTAAAACATTGCATGCATGATGAAATTTTATAATTAGAAAAATGTTTTAATTGTCAGTCTGTAATAAATAGCTACGAGAAGCTGAAAAAATAGCCTCTATACAACTGGAAACTAGGTGATGAAGAACTTCTGATTTTGATGTAGGTTTTATGAGTAATGTTCAGTATTGTCAGCTTAAGTTCGGATTGTATCAATCATAACACATTACATTTTCATGCTGATAGCCGTTACGGAACTCCAGATGACCTGAAAGAAATGATTGATGTTGCTCACTCAATGGGCATCACTGTTCTGCTGGATGTTGTGCACAGCCATGCATCAAAAAACTCTGAAGATGGTCTCAACAAATTTGATGGTACAGATTCTTGTTTCTTCCATTCTGGTCCTAAAGGAACTCATCAGCTCTGGGACAGCAGGCTCTTTGACTATGCAAAGTAGGTATAAAACATCACTTCAGGTGTGTTAATGGTAATTATTTCTTACCAGTTCTAGTAAAACTACTCTATTCACCCAACTGGAAAAGTCGTTTGGGTTGTTCAACAGATACAATATGTTGTTTACTTTGCTGCATTTAGCATTTGCTAAATGCTAATTCCTTTACTTTGCTAGATACTTAAAATTTAATACTAAATAACAGTTTTTTAGGTTTTGTTATTTTTGTCATCTATGGCTACATATGTACATATTATATACCAAGTGCATTGTATGTATTATATAATAACGACGTAGTACAATTATGTATTTATTTTTATTTTAAAATAGATTCAAATATTTATGTAGATATCTATTTAAATATTTATTATAGGAATAGATTATATTTGATTATTTATTTATATATAAAATAGATTTGTATTTTCATATTGTATACTACATTTATATGTAATATATCACATATATAATATATCATTTATTATATTTGTATATAGAAATTAATAATAATAAAAGCTGAAGAAAACTTGTAGCTCTGGAAATTTATTGCCAAACTGTCAGATTGTTGAAATGTAGCAAAAGTTTTGCTCCAGGACAGCTAACTCCATTCCAAAGAACTTCCAGAGGTTGATAAACAGTTAGTACAGAGCAGGGGTCATTTTCAGTAGGAAATTTTAGGGCCCAGTTTCGGCACACTTAATTAACTAGAATAAATATAGTGTGTGTCAAACCACATGTTAATGCCAGATGATGGTTAGCATTTAATACTGTTTACTTTATATTCTCTGAGGTGTTGGGGGTGAGGGGATTTCTTGTATGCTGAATATTTCAGTGGTTTAAATAGAGAAACAGGCACAGGCAGTCATCTTATTTCAGTATCCTTCTCCCATTTTTCCCATGTTTGTTCATCCCTGAACCACCTTGATTCCTCCCTTTCCTTGTCTTTGATTCTCCCCCTAAACATCCCACAGTAAGTTTTGCACAACCCCACAATCTCCTTAAAGCATTGCTTAATAAATTCTATATAGTGTCACTCGCCTCTTATTCCATGATAAATTTGCTTTTTTTCCCCCCTTGAGATGCATGATAGTCTTGTTTGCCCTTCAATTACAAAGTTCTGGTTTAACCCTTTCAAGGTTACACTTGAGTGGTTTCTTTGGTGGCTCATCACCTAGCGACTGCGGAGTTCTAGTCTCTTGTTAATCTGCTGGTTGTTAGGTTTTGTGTGCTGCAGGTTCAATTTACTTCCCCTGCGCCGCCCTGTGTTTCTACCTTGCTTGCATTGAATTGCCATTAGCTGGATATGCTTATGTTGCAGATGTCCTTAAAACTTGGATCAGAATTATGTATGTTCAGTTAGTTGCCAAAAAAGATTTTTCTTGTACTCATAAGCTATACTCTTGAGGCTGATAGTTTCATAGCTTATGAGGGTTGTAACTGTTTAAGAAGGTCACTTTTGCAAAAGTAATGTTACATAGAATAGGTCAACTGGTCAATGGAAACTCCTGCACAGTAACTCACAATTTCAATTAAACTGAGTGACCAGTGTAATAAGTGACATATGCACTATGTTACTTAATAGGATGAGGTGTTCTTTATTTACTTTTTATTTTGGACAATTTAATTGATGAATTCAGGGGGCCTTTTTTGAATTGTGATTTTAATTATTATAACAAATGCATTTTAGTATGTCTAATGGTAATTTCCTCTTTGAGTTGCTTCCTATTAATCTTTAAATTTATATTCAAATAAATTCTATTTCAGATAATCTTAAAGCTTTAATATCAATACAGTAGTATTTCACACTTTATTTCATTTTATGCTTGTCTATAATCAACAAGTATGTGGGTATTGACTTCTCTAGTGAGAAAATAAATTGAATGCAGTTATAGACCTTTCTCTGTTCCAAGCAGACACAGGTTCTTCTTGGGAAAGAAAGCGGTGTTGGTATTGACTGTTTTCGAAGGATTTGTAAATGAAAGAAACCGCAGGCTGCTTTCTGGGCACCATTTGGCAATGTTAAGCATTTAATCAGAACTGAAGAACTTCCTACATGGGTCTCTTTGGTCAGTGATATGTGCCTGTATTCATTGAGGAGGGACATGGCTGCAAAATTGCTCTTCGTCCTGTGTGATCAGAATAGATGCTGGACTGAATGCTGGAAAGAGGGGGAGGGGAAAGAGCTGTGACGGGGAGAGAAGAGATTAGGAAATAGCAGAGACTAGAGAACTGTAATCTATGCTCTACTGATGAGTAAAAATAGTGCCCTGGATGACTGAGGGTCCCTCATATGTCATTCCCCATCCCCTACCATCTAGTGAAATGCAATAACAAATCTGGATTTCCTTTTTCAAACTACTAGGTAACCCCTTCCTTCCCCTTCAAGTACAAGAAGCTGTGCGGTGACCTGGTTTTAGTCATTGAGGGCTTCTTTAGTCCTAAGATCTGAAACACTAAATATCCTATGTGTGTTTATAGTAAAACTTTAAGGCTTAAAAGATATAACAATCATATTTATTCTAAGTTGCTCAGAATTTATTAAAAAATGTGGTTTGTTTTTTTTTCTCCTTTTTTTTTTATGTGTAAAGGTCATGAACAAAATTGGGAAAGAATCAGAACTGACATTTTATTGAAAATTATTTGGTTTTCTTCCATGTAGGCTTTATTGATATGCCTGGTCATTTCCATACCAGTAAATGAGCAGTTCTAGTCTGAAAGAGGGGAGTATAAAAATCTGTGAGAGAGACTCGAGTTGCGTGCAGATGTTCAAAGTTTGCTGAAAATAAATGACACCAAACACAATCTCTTAAATGGTATACAGAAAACCTTCCTTTCTGAGACAAATCTCTTCAGCTAGTACAGCTTTCTTTCCTGTACAGTGTTTGTACTAAATCCCTTTCCTTCTGTAGTAGGAAGAACTGTTAAATCTACAGGTACTTAAACATCAAATACAAAGAATGTGTAATTTACTTTGGAAATGAGAGAAACTAATTCTCTGCCATGAAAGAGATTAAGAAACAATTGCTTTATCAGTTTAGTCTGTCTACATTTTCTTTGAAAGCCAAGACATAAGTAAATTTGTCTCGCAGCATTTGCAAGATTATTTAGTTGTCTGGGAAGGGGACTGTGAATATTTGCTATAACAGAAGGTGGCAAAAGATCCTGATCTATGCAAAAAAAGGAATATATGCATGGTGTGTTTTAAATACTTTTTTAGTAATGCTCATATAAGTAGAGAGTAGCTCCAAGAAAAGCAGTAGTAAAACTGTTGTAAGGTTAACCTGGATGTTGCATCTCACACCATAGTGCAACTTAAGATAAAAGCGAGGTTTCTATTGTGGACTTTGAGACAACACTTACTGAGCAGTAGAACTACATTTTTGTTAATCTGTGTTTGTGTAAGTGTTGTACAAACAGTGGACTTTTTGGTAAATTGTAAGCAGCATCTTAGAAATTTTGCTGTTTGAGGTGGTGTCACAGGAGAATAAAACCTCAATTTCAGTAAAATGAGAATTTGGAGGTAAAATAACTGGGTAAGTAAAAGAGCATGTTCCACTTAACCTTTATAAAGAAAAGTATTAGAAATTCTGCTTTAAAAAAGCCACAAAAACCTGATTCTTAAATATACTTCCACTTTCATAATTCTGACATGTTTCCAGTTTTTCAAAAAACTGGAACTGGGCATTTTTTTCCTCAAACATGTTAATTTGGTGAATCTTTTCCTTCATTTCCATCCCCTCCCAGTTGTCCCCATGTCCATCCTTCCCCCCCACCCCCCAGCAGCCAACCCAAAAACCAGAACTACAAAGCTTGAGTGAGGATCGCAGTTTATTTTAATAATACTTTTTAAAAACAAACTTTTATATCCTTTATCATAGTTCCTATTAAAGATGTAGCTTTCCTATTGCCGAATTCATGAAAGGGAAGTGCTGTAAGGTAAAAGGGATGCCACAAGCTCTGGACCTTTAGTCTAGCTGGCACTGTGTGGTTAATTCTGTGATAAATTAAGCACCTTGTCTCTATTGTGATCCTGTTTAAGATAACTCACTCGAAATACATGTAAACACCCTCCGATCTCAAGTAAGGATTCTGCTTGTAATTAATTTAACACAAGCTGAGTATAACAATTTTTCCTTCCTAAAATCATATTTGAAGATCATTCAGCTGCCAAGTTCATTAAAAGTGATGCTGTGGACCCCAGAGACCAGGTGGGATCACAACTAGAGTGGTTGATTGTGTTTTGATTTAAATTCATTTTTTCACATAGCAAATGTGTCTAAAATACTAATCAGGCAAAACAATTTTAAAAGAATTGAGAACAAGATATTACCTAGCAAAGATAAGTTGTTAGCTTTTTTTTTTCAAGCACTAAATAATTAAAATGTGTAAATGATGCTGCCTTTCTAGGCTTATTGAGATCAGAGAGTATTGTTTTGATTTTTAAGGCTCTGTATTCCTCTTTTCTCATTAGGCCTTGTTAGGTTCTGCACCTCCTTAATCCAATTCTAAGGGGCAATAGAGGTATGGTAATATATTTCTGTGAGCCTTTAGGATTAATGGCAGAAGTAAAGCTTGGCAGAAATCATGTGATGCACTAAGTTTTGTGTTAGGTTTGTAAGGGTTTTTTTAATACTGGGACCCTTTTTACCTTAGCACTTGATTCTTGCTCAGTCTAGGAGAAGAACTTGGCACAAGAGTCAGAGGTTGAATTACATCCTAGTTTTAATTACAAAGTCCTGCTTCCTTGAATGCAGCAGTACGATCAACAAGAGATTGTTAGTTACAAGGTTCTGGGACCAGCAGACGTTCCTGGCGTCTCTTTTGAGGCTCTGTTTTCAGTGCTTCCTTTGGACTGGATTTTGTGTGTCCGTGTTTTGGTTCTTCTGTAAAGGCACCAAATCGTAACTAGTGGGAATCCTTTGGCTCGTCCACCCTACAGGTTTTGTCTTGTTTGTATTTGTTGGTGATACTCTGTTTTTGGAATTAAGGCTGTTAAGTAAAGGAA